AATTCATGAGTATAAGGAAGAAGTAGTCGAAGAAGAAAATTACGTTTTTGAAATAAATGATCGAATGATTATTTTAATGTAAAGAGGAAAATATGCCATTAATAATGGAAAACAACAGCTTACAGGGTCATATGCTTTTTATGACATTTCCCATTATCAAATCGCCTCCTAGCTTCACGAATCCATCTTCGAAGTCTTGAATCGACGTTGGCCTGGACGAATTGCCATCACCTCTTTGAGAGATAACAGTCCGGAAACTTTTGCCTTAAAAGATCGAAGATTTCGTTGCTTATGTGGCACGCATCGCCGCCTTGTTGAAGACAAACTTTGGCATTAATCATCTTTCGATAGCGCAATCCATTCACCGTAATTGTTTCTGCAGCCTCATTTTCGAAAGAGTAAGGTGAAATAATCTAGCCGGATAATAAACCACTCCCAACAGTTACACGTTGATGCCTCAGATTTGATTATTGTCCTAACCGTCGAGGTGGAAATGGACCTCAACAGTCAAAGTGACTTTTTGCTGAAATTCCGTATAATTTTCATGCAACGTGGAACGCTCAGTCCCAAAGAACGACGAGAAATGGACAAACCAGGGTTTTCTTCAACACTTTGGGCTACAAAAGCAATATTCTAAAATGTTTTTCAGCGACGTGCACCCAACACCTCAATTTCGGTGTATTAACTTAAGTATCAGAAGGAGAAGAGGTTGACCCATCAAATCCGTCTGTTTGTTCGCAGAGTGATGGACTGGAGTTTTTAAAATATTTCAACTAAAGTTGGCACACAGATGCACTTTTATATTTCCAAGATGATTTGCTGAAACCGGTCAGATCAGACCCATATAATATATTGCTCTAGTAAAAGTATTTATTTTTACTTTTTCGTCAAAGATGGCTTTAGTGATCTGTAGCAGTATTTTACTTCGTAAATGCGAAAACGCAAGTCAGACAGCTGAAAATGTGAATAGTTTGTTCTATGCATGGATGCCGCGAGTCGTTACTGAATCGTAGCAAAACCGATGGATTTCAGAAGTGGATTGTGACTGGTGATGAAAAGCGAATCACTTACAGCACGAAGGACAGTGAGCCGGCATAAACGGTCTCCAAGCCAGGATTGACGGTTAGAAATGTTATGTAGTGTATTTGGTGGCAAAAGATCATCCAATATACGTGTAAGCTGCTCACCTACGGTAAAAATCTGAATTTGGTACCTGTACAATCAGTGATTGGATTGTCTGAAGGTTGTCGTTGCCCAGCTTTGGCCAAAGGGAGGAAGAATTGTGTTTCAACAGGACAACACACATCGACAATGACTCACCAGAAGCTTCGAGAGCTTCGTTGGAAGGTTGATATGCGTCCACCTTATACTCGTGCCATCTGTTTCTGTCTATGGCGAACGATTTGGCTGGTGAAATATAAGAATATATATAACTGATTGGTCACAAAAAGTAAGATAGAAGAAAAGAGACTCAGGCATGATTAATCCACCATTTTTTTTAGACTCACACCCACTTTTAAGTCGTTTTAAGTCTAACCGTCGGTTGGACAAGACCAAACTCTTAAACCGCTTTTAATACCGAATGATGCTGTGCTCGTGACGGTTAGCTAACCTCGTCTAGGAGTAAGTAAAGTTAGTCGATTACAACGAGGTCATTTTACGGGAGGCCAAACACACGATCTGTTTCGACAAGTGCAGAACCGAGGAATAGGTATGAGATGAAATAATTTTAATGGGCATGCTTGGTATGTCAGGGTCGAACCAGAGTAAATAGCAGTTGAGTCTACTAAATTGTGACTCCATTACTCGGGTTACGCAAGTCCGTTCGAACTTTTCGTCTGCTATATGTGGTGCATGGATTCCCATCACGTATTCTCAGTTAGAGAGTTAATGATGGTTGCTTCGGCTTTTAGCAGGTGTATGATGAAAGCAGGTACCACTAATTCAGAATAACATTAAGTTAAGGAGCGATAACATAAATGTCTCGCTATGCAAATGGTGTACAGGATATTCAAGTGACAATAGAAACTTTTTTGTTATGGTTCTAAAGACAGACTTGTAGCTTCTTCAGCTTCTTTGTTGTTGTACAAATCTCAATTGTGCCACGATTAAACAACTGTCTCGACAGACGGTTCAGATAAGGAAATATCTCTGTTGGAAGAGGCAACTTAGAATGGGATTAAACAAACTCGTCAAGAGAACGCCACACAGCAGCGTCCAAACTTTGTAGTTTCAGCCTCGAAAATTTTTATAATCGCTTACAATACCTGTTGTTGTTGCTGTTGGCCTCAAAACAAAGACAAGAACAAGTTCAACGAATTTCCCGAATCGCTGTCAAGGAGATCCCATCAAGCTCAACCTTTAACCTTTCATCTTTACTCCCCAAGTTAAAGTGCTGAGATGGCTGTGAGTGTAATTAGGCCGTTACAGCAACAACAACAACCAACCCCATTCATAACAATAATTAGAGGCAATTGAATTTTTGATTTTAAATGGAGTTTTAGTTACTTTGATAATGTTTATTTTTAAAATAATAATTACAGTTTGCATAACTTATTTAATTGTATATATATTTATATATACATCTATGTATATTACAATAGTTGTTTTATTTTGAAACTAAATTTACGCTTTTCCACGTCTCGCCTTGGAACGCAAGCCAACGCTGCCATTATTTGGAACATATATGTATTATAAATGCCGAGAAACATTGTTTTTTAATTTTAATGTTAATGGCGACTGTAAGTCTAGTAAGTTCTATATTCCAAAACTTAAACAAATTAAATACATATTAAATCATATGAAATTGTTTTTTAACGTTATTTCTGTGAAAAGTGTACAATGAATTTTAATTGATGGTTCGGTGAATATTTTCCTATTATTTTGGTTACTACTTTTTATTATCAAGTGCTATTGTAAAATATTATTTTAGTCAGTTATAAAATGCGTTTATTTCAAACGCTGGTGGAATTAACATTTTTCCTATTTCCTTTAATGAGATATACATATGTATGTGTATGTGTGTAATAGTGGACAAGTGTGAAGAAAATTGCATTGAAAAGTTGTCAACAGTTATTAGGTCAGAACTGCTTGATGTTGGAATTTTTCCGGTCTCGAATTGAACTTCATTTTCAATAAGTCAGAAACACGGTATTTTTTGTTGTAGTTCAGAGCAGTTATGAGCTTCTTTCTATTGTTTTTCTTTAATTGAAAGTGGTTTTGTGAAAAGTTTTTATTTGGTATGTTCTATTTGTTTTGAAATACACATTAATCTATTGGCTTTACACACACATATAAAGGGTGCTTTTGCTTCAAAATCGGTTTCGGTTTGATATAAAATGTATCATTTTATTGGTTTACAAAACTTAATGCTATGTATATTAGAAAAGGCAAAATTTTCATTAGAAAAATGTCATTACAAAATTCCAACAACACACACGCACACAATGCCATATACAAGTATGTTGTTATGTATTGTGAATACATATTTGTAAAAAAATTCACTATTTCTTTTCGTTTGTTCGTTGTTTTCGGGGTTTCTGCTGTTATGAAAGCACGAAATTTCACTAAGATAATTTATTTATTTAAAAAAAAAAAAAAAAAATTAAAAAAAAAAAACCAAATGAAATACTTAAAAAGATTACTTAAAATTCATTTCAAGTTGTAAAATAGACAAAGTTAAAGACATAAATACTGCTATTGCATATGTGGCTGTGTTTGAAGGTCACTTCACGCATGCAAACACTTAAATTGTGACGCAACGCTGCTTGAACAAATTTCTTTCAAACAATTTACATACACACAACGCAAGTATATTTATTACAACACATAGCACACATGACATATTTAAATGGCAAGGAGAACAAAAAACTGAATTTCTTTTAGCATGTGTATGTGTGTAGCAAGAAATAAAAAAAATGCAGTTTTAAACAGGTGAGCTTTTTAAAAGTTACACAACATAATGGTATTTGAAAACAGCTTGATTTAGAGTAATTTTGAAAATTATTAAACAATTTTCACCTTAAAGTGTAGTCATTAAGATTTTCGACTAAAAACAAAATGATTTTATGTACATTACTTGCACATGGAAGAAAATTACCTAACACAAACAAAAATTAGTCAAACTAAGAAACTTAACTTAACGCTTATTTAAGGGTTTGATTATAATCAAATTACATAAATTTAGCAAAAAAAAAATAAAAATAAAAAAAGGTTGAACATTTCAAAAATTATAATTAACGCATATATTCGCTTTGCAATCACTGTGACGAATTAATAATACTAAAAGTTGTAATACAATTTTTAAAATCGCCCATTTAAGAATTTAGTTAGCCAATTTAAGCATAAATACAATAATGTAATATTTTTGTTCTACATATACATATATATATATAAATATAACATTGCCTTAAAATAAAAACTTACATATTCACATTTGAATTTCATATGAATAATCAGTCTTTGTATTTAAATAAAAATTATCAAGCTATTTTTGTAGCTTAGTAAATATGTATGCTTGCTTGCCTTGTTCTTATTGAGCGTACATGTGCCAATCAATGTATGTTTATGTGTAACATCTGTTCAGAATTCTTTTAACAATATATTTATAGATCGGCGAAATTTTTTCATATGCTAAAAAATATGTACATTTTAGAAATGAAAAATCCTAACACATAAATATCTATATTTTAAATATTTTTTTTGTGTATAGACAATTTCCAATAGAATTTATTTTAGATATTTGGAATATTTTCCAACAAACAAAAAAAAAGATATTTATAAAGTTGGCCTTTTCTACTGCGTCTTTTAACGATTAGGATGCTTACAGAAGTACCTATAGAAACTGCGCTGTACTAAATACAAACACAAATACAATAAAAAAAAAGAATATATGTATACTTTAACAACTTATCTGTTATGAATTATAATAAAAAATCATTCTTAAATTCAACAAAACTGATTTTAGCTAAATATTCAATTATTTACTTTTAAAACCTCCGTTTTTTTTTTTTATTAAAATTCATGTAAAGTAGAATTTAATTTTTGACAATATGTAATTTGTAGTGTACAGTTTCGCAAACATGATTAACGTAATATATCTTAATTAACAAATATTTAAGTTTCTCAGCTTTTTGCACACATTTTATAGTAGTTTAAAATCAACACTAATTACAGTTAACATAAAATAATCTATTATGTGCTTATATTATTTACACTAGCTTTACATATTTATATGCCCAGGGACTATGATAACTGATAGTATTTCCTTTGTTGTTAACAACTCAGTTTTAAATAATTGATAGATTTTTTATACATTAAATTTACATTTTTAGGTTTTTTTTTTTGTATATATGTATTTATAGAGAAAATGAAAAATTAAATAAAATTGGTAAGTGGAATATTTGCTTGTCCGACAGTATTTAGCTTACTTTAATTATAGATTTACATTACATTAAGTTCATTAACATATAAGAAAAAGTAGTATTAACAAAGTGTTGTAGCTTAATTTAATTAACATAGCTGTGGCATACCATGCAAAACACTTGAAACCTCAAAAATATACACAATGGCCGATTTATTTTGGTTTGTAAGACGTGCATTAGTGCGGCTAATTGGAGATTGATGCATGCATGATTTTTAGCTGTTATATTCACACCAGCAAATTTTTTAATCAATACCTACATTGCATTACAAAATCATGAATGTAAATATTTGTTCCGTTTGGTTCGGTGTACTTATTTGATATTTGCTTTGACTTTGTTTTTCATATGCAATTATTTAACATTATTTATTTATTCAGGGCCTTTATTATTTCGAATGTGTAAAATATTCTGGCTATAACTTCTAATCTGACAACTGAAGGCAGTGTTGCTGCACAGAGTTACGCGCATTACAAGAGGATTAAACCCTCATAGTCTGTACTACGTTTTATATGTTTATGTTTTTATACGCTGCAATAGCAAATCATCAAAAATATTGGTATATAAAATTGTTACAGCAAATCAAACCAGACTCCGATATCCGGCACGTTCCAATAGTGGCTAATGTGCCCAGTAACGATCATATACATATATACATATATATGCAAACTCATTTACAAAATTCTATCCGCCATTATTACTATTGTATATGCATGATTCTCGATTAGCTAAAGTCGTGTTGTCCTAGTTATAGCTACTGTATGTATTCTTGTCCTTCCTTCAACTTATTGAGTAAAACATTATTTATATCCTAATTCAATTGAATTTTAATTGTTGTCGATTTCCAGTGGATTCGCTAATGGAGTTTAATATTTAACTCCGCGAATCATTGCTTTCACTAAAACTTTGCTCGCTGGACTCACGGCGACTACCAACTGGTTTAGGCTTATATTCTGTAATGAACACTGTCACTGAATTCACAGTGACTTCACGAGTCTGTGCTGTTGAGCGATCGACATTCTTCAAACGTGCCGGATATTTTTTATGCTTATTTTTCTCATGGCCGGCACTGTGTCGAGAGCCGGAGGCTGATTTAGTGCCGTTTGGCATAGTGCCGGATGCGCCGGGTAAAGTGGCGGCTTGTTGCGCAACGAGAGCAGAGTTCAAGCGTGGCTTACGTGTGGAAGTTCCTGCAATAAAAATGAACTATGATTAAATATATACTGAATACTGCAGTTATTCAATGGAAATCAGAATACAAATGTATTTTTTTAAGTATGGGCAGATTTGATTACACAGAATAGACATACATACTTAGGGAATTAAGGAGCTAAAATTTACATTTCTTAAATGTGTTATCGAACATCAAGAAACCATTATTGCGCTAAAAGTCAGCGAGACGGCAATAGTCCATTCTTCCCCAAAGTGGTAGTAGAATTTTTCGGAAAGAACATGCGTTGCTCAAAAATGTCCATACTTTACGTAATAAATGTTAATGATTTTTTTCAGAAATTCTTAACTTCACTTAACTACTTTTTTTTACTTAATCAAATTTTTATCGCGCAATCATTTTTGATTTCAACTCTGAGCTTTCACGTGCATTTAACTACATTGGCTATACACTTCGCGGACGCTTAGAAATGGTAATATGTATGTACATTTAGGTTAGATTGGTATGTTAATAATCTTATAATATAAACAAACAAAATGGGTCACAACAATAAAGAGTATTAGCACCTTGGATAGGCCGAAATAGTTGTGTATTGATATTAATGTTTTTGATTTGATTCCCTTTTATTCCAAACATTCGCAAAATTATGTTTTATCACTCTCTATTTCTCTCTCTTTAGACATTCAGCCCCGCAATCACGATAACCTTGCAGATTAAATTGTGCATGAACTAAAAATTTGTACATACATACATATATGTATATATAAACGTATATGTATACAAATAATTGAAAGCTTTTTAAATAGTGCATTATCTGAAAGATATGAATGTATTCGAATTCATAATATAAACTGCGAATGTGAAAAGAAATATGCACCAGAAAACATTCATGTATGTATGTATAAAATAAATTAAACTACAAAAAATTATTAATTATATTTCGTTTCGTTTATGTGACGTTGCTAAAGAAGTTTGGTTATAGACATAATGTCATATTAAGCCTTTTATAGAGAATGCATAATCGACACTCTACAGTTGCTTATCATCTTCTTCACTGCCCGCACACTATCGTACGTCTAGAAGTTAAGAAATGAAGCAATCGACCTGGTTCGTCGCGTACATACCTTCACGCAACCTCATTTTTATATATACATATGTATAGGTATTATTGTATATCTTCCCCCGCTTGCCACTGTCCCATTTGCGGCTGTCTACATACAAATCAGCATGATGCTTGGCCTCAGCCTCATTACGGAGCCGAATAGTGCACCTTACACTGCTGCCATTTAAACATTGCACACAATTCACATTTATGTACATACATCCGCATTTTGCGTATATGTATGCATATGTAGGTATTACTTTCTTAATATTGCTCGAATAAAAGCTGCGGTTTTGTTAAGGCGACTATTGCGGTAATATCAAAATCATATACACGTCGGAATGCACACATACTTGAAGGGTCACTCACCTTTCCGCACGTCACACATTCGGCATTTAAATGCTTCAGCAGTATTCCTGTACGTACATACACTGCAGTCCCAGAAATTCTCTTCGATCGCCTTCGATTGTCGCTTCTGTCTTCTTACTGGCGATTTCTTGTGATCCATAATCTTTGATCGCTGCCGTTTATATAAATATCGTTCCTGCCTTTGCGGCTGGTGCTGCTTCAGCTGCTCCACCGCTTTAAGAAATTTTATTCCTTCTTTTACCAATTTTTTCTATTTTCAAGTTGTGGCTTAACTAAAGCACACATAGATGCAGTTACGAAAAAGTCACCAAACTCTTTTACTTTAATCGGTGCAAAATCTTTAATTTACTTTTCCACTTTAGCCACACCCTTTTCTAATTAGATTTTTAAATCACTTTCAACTTTTGCCAATAACTCACAACAGCCATGAATGAATTCCGGAGAAAAATCTTTTCGATTTTCCATTTAACATACATACGAATTGAGAAATTTGCTAAAAGTGGCGAATAAAAAGCGAAAAATATGCGATTCCCGAATGGGAAAATGTCAAAAACTAGCAATAACGCAGAGCTGCATTAGCATTTGAGCGGTAAACAAACCAACAAATTGTAGTTCTACCAACAGATGGTGCTGAGAGACCTTCATTTTGGCAGCACTTGTGTAAATAATGTATAGATGCAACGTTGCCAGCAATAAAAAAAGTCGGATGAAAAGTTTTAAAAGACTAGAGGTATTCTCTTCATCTAGCAAATACGTGCTCTAAAAAAAAAACAACAAACTGGTACAGGGATGTTTTTCTTCTTCGTGTAATATATGAAATCTGTGAATCAAACTATGCCTTCCTTGGACCAACAGAATATTGCTGGTTGTCATGCAGTTTAAAGATGATTGAATTAGTTTTCAAATGACAAAAATCGTTTTTGAAAAAGTTGGAACTTTCAAGTTTACCTCAGACAAGATCCATGAACTACAAATTGATCCATTAAGAAGTTTGATTTGTATCCCTCCTCTTCCAATTCGTGATATGCGTTTTGATGTTTTTCCAACAAATGGATGGACCTACAGTTTATAATAAGCCGCCTCCGAACGGCTTTTATTTCATGTCAGAAATACACACGGAGAGGTTCACATTTCCAGCCGAAGAGCGACCGCAATTAGAAAATTTAGCTGAACTTTTTATTTAAATTAATTTTCTAGAACTTATTTGCTATTGGTTGCATCGGGATTTGAACCCGAGCCTTACGTATGGCAGTACGCAGTGCTAAGCTCTCGGCTACCGCGGCCGCCAAGTATTATTACTCCGACAATATTTTCCAAAATGTACCTTGGGGAATGCTTGTGCTGCTACAAGCATATTACAAAAACAGCAACAACAACAACATCAGCAGGGCTTATTGACAAGCATTAAACGCCATGCACCGAGAGCCCGCCAACACCTACCCGAACTGTTCTGTAGTGTATGGCATTGCCGGAGTCAAGCCACCACCTATTGCAGTCGAAGAGCTCGCGAGTCCCGTTGTAGATAAAACTCCTGCTTTTCCATGCTTCACCTCGGACATGCATAACGTATGCCCTGCTTGCAATGGCCCCTAAAACCAACTTCTCATTCCAGAGGGAAAGGTCCGAACTTATCGAAACAGCTCATTTCCTGGACCATTAACATTAAATGAAAAACTCTTTAATTTTTTTTTAAATATCATTTTAAATATATTTTATTTGTAGGCAGTTTCTGAAGAACATTTTAATGACATTTATATATAATGAACATGTTAAATAATCATTTCGTTATTCTTCTATATAATCAAATTTCATGTCCGTACTGTCTGTTGCTCTGGTTGTTGCTAATCTTACTGTTATTTCTTGTTATAACAATACTTTCCTTTTCAGTTGCTAACTGTGTGTGAGTGTTTGTGTCTGAGTTTTGTTTGTTGGTGTTTGTTGTGTGTATTTGTGAATGTATTTATTAATAAGGTGTTCAAAATGTGTTTATCAATTGTTTCTGCTGAGTTATTTTCTATTTTGTTTTTGCTTTGTTTTGTTACTTGTTGTATCTTCTGTTTGTTTTCTTTTTCTTTCTTTTTATTTTTTTGTCTATTTCATATATTAATTTTACTTTAATTATTCTTACTTAACTATGTATATATGTATAAGTATTTATTTAATAAGTTAATAATTTTTATTAATTTTTTCTTTGTTTGCTTAAAAAACATTATTTTATTTTATAATATTTATTATTTATATGTATATATGTATATACTGTTTATTCATTCATTCAATATTTTTATATTAATATTTATATATATATATAGATATATATATTGAGATATATGTATATATATATTTATATATATATATATGTCTGTATATATTTATTTATAATAGTAATTTTTTAATATCGTAGATCACCGAATTTGTTAAAAAATTGTTTACAGAAAAATTTGCTGCTATATTTTTTATGTATTGTATTTATATATATATTTATATATACGTGTATATATATATATATTTATATGTATTTAGAGTTAGCCATACTAGTTGTTTTTGTTTGTTTCATTCAATTTTCAATTTCAAATATTCCTTCCTCTATTCCTTTTTAGTATGATTTATATGTAGAATTTATCATTGTATTTGTGTATTTGCTGACCACGAATATTCTCTTTGTTGGTATCTTCTTTTTAGTTTAAATTTAAATTGTTTATATTTATTGTTATAATTATTATATTAATTTAATTTGTTCGTATTCTCTATGTATATCAATATGTATGTATATTTATTTATGCGTGGTTATTGCATTCGCATTAATATGTAAATGTAAGTGTTCCAAGTATTGTATATATATATATATATATATTTTCAATTTTACTTAATTCTGCTTGATTTTTACAATATGTCGTTTGTTTGTATTTAGTTTCGCTTTCGGCATTTTATGTAAATATATACATATGTACTTGTGTGTACACCATCAAGCATATAAATCGCTATAAGTCATCAATTACGATTCGCACACTCAAAAATTTTATTTGACTAAATTATTTTTAATTATATTCTTTTTTGTTTTTTTTTGTTTTGGTTTCCTTATTAAATTGCTTCTATAATTTGCATTACATACTTATTTGTTTTTTTATTAATTTATTTATTTTTTTCATTTTGTTCTATTTTCGCTATTTGTTATTCACTTTTAATGAGGTAAAAAATTAGTAAGTTTTATTTTGAAAAAAAAAAATATTTTGAAAAAATAAAAGATAAAAATTAAAACATATTAATTTAACTCAAATGATTTTTGCTATAATGCTAATTGGCTTTGCTATATATATATGTACATATATGTATGTATGAATATATTTTAAGTTGTTGTTGTTGTTTTACTGGAATAACTGTAACTATTTGAATAAATTTGAAACTCTTCTTCTCATACGCAATTTTCGAATTTGAAAATTTCACTAATAAACGCAGTTGCTTATATAAATTCTTGTTTATTACAATAAATATACATACGAATAATTTAACAGCAGACAGAAAAAATTGTATTTATCTATATGACGCTGATTACATATTTTAACTTTAATATTTATATGGTTTTTTTTCTTTTTTATTATTTGTTGTTTCATAACAATTAATTAAATACCTCAATTCGCGCTTATCACACTTTAATGAAAATCTCCAAGTAAAAAAAAAAATATACAAATTTACTTGATGTATGTATGTGTAACCTATTTTTCATGTTTTTTTTTTTTTTTATTTAAAAAAAAAAAGTAATGAAACTTAGCTTCGTAAATATGTATGTATGTATTTCTATCCCTTCTAATTTGGTAATATTTGTTTATTACTTTAGGGATATACAGCGGCGGGGATTAGATTAGGTTCAAATATTCAAATAGTAGTATGAGTATGAGCATGTACATATGTATATTTTATCAAGGTTGATTTATATATACTCATATAGATATATAATGTGATTTTCTTATATTGATTTAATTTAATGAGATTGGCTGATAAGTGCCAAAGCTTCTGTAATGGAGTTAATATTAGTTACTTTTCGAAACACTCCTTTCTTGCTAACAAAAATGGTAGAAAGCAAAAAAAAAAAAGAAATCGAAGAGATAAAATTAGTGAGGTTAAATTGAATTACATGGATACAAGTGTATAATCACAAAATAAAAATACAAAAGCATAATTTCAATTCATTGATTTAAGAAAAGCCTCTAACTGAGCTAAAGCATTGCCAAATAGTTTTTGAACAACATTTGCGAACAAAAGTGATTTTGGTTTGGTGCAGCTCAATCTGCATCCAAGTCGATAAAGAAAATAATGTTTACAGTCTACAGTCATGGCCAAAAGTGTTAGACACCGCTTCATTGATAAAGTGATAGGTGCCTCTGGAAAATGTGTTTTTGTTAAGTTTAGTCAGTAATTACAACAATGAAGCGCATTTCGTGAAAATTCTAAAGAGTGTAGTTTTTAAAGAAAGACTTACAACTCGTTTAATAGTCTTCATTAGTAAAGACATCAACAGTCGCAATAAAATTTGGTTGAATTTGTCATAAAAAATTACCTTTCTTAGGAAAAAAAGTGAGAATCCGAGTGAGTGCTCGTGCTGTGTAGCTCAAAGTGCTTTCAAGTGATTTGAGGAAGCGAAATCGCAAGTTGACAAATCAAAAAGTTCGTAATATCCATTTCATGTTTATCAGAAGAAGCTGACAAATGTGTTAGCCCTCGAATTGTTAGGAGCAGGTACCAACACCAACATTATAACTTGGAGGTAAGCTTAGTTGGGATTTACAAATTCATAAAATGGAATAATTTTGATAAAATAATCTTTTGAAAGGTCTTTTTTCAAATTATCTATAGGTAGTTGGTTTGACAGGGGTTTACGTGATTCTACTGTGAAATTTTGTAGAGGCAGCATCATGATTTAGGGTTGAGTTTTTTCAAACCAATTGAAATATGGTTCAGTTACAACAAGTCACCGCTCCATACCTTAAATCAGCTACTTTATTAACCAGCACAATCTGCCGTACTGAACCACATCGAGCATCTATGATCAAGAGAGGATCGCTTAAATGCTGTTGAATGTGTATATGGGTGCATGTATACAGAGTGCACCAAAGAATCGCCGCTGACAGAGCGTGGACCTAATTATATGCTTATGTTTTTCTCACTGTATATATGTATGTATGCAAGAAAGTAATTCTCAAATAATCAGCAATGGAATTTAACACCTTCTGATCTATCTGTTTACGTCTCTCCATACTTGCTGCCTTGAGCGGATTGTGATTGGCGACTGCGCAGCGTCACGTGCCTCTTACAACATCGGGTATAGACCTCTTTTTTTGTTACAAGGCGAGTGCTCAATTTGAATACACTCAAAATTCAACGCCAACCACTTTGGCAAATAAATTACACATATTTTTAAATAAATAGTTCATTATTTCGGCCATGACTGTAGATTTCTGAAGATTTTTGTAAGAAACTTTAAATTGAAGAAAAGTTGATTTGTTGATTGGGCTCCTTTAAACTGCTCTCCTCAATTAAGCCTTAATTTCTTTGCAATAAATGT